TCCTTGTAAATAGAATTGTAAATAGGACATTCAAGCGCAAGATACACCGCGAATTTCTTGCACGGTTTCTGCATATTCGAGGCGTTTGCTTCTTCACAGATCGTTGGAGCCGAGAAAAAATGTTAAACGGATTAACGTGGAGGAATAACGAAACGCAGAAAGTGAATGATTCGCACAGTTCTCCAAGTAACATTTTATAGAGTTGATTGCATAGCGTCTATCCTATTTTAGATCTGTGTCATTTATACAAAGCGGTTTCACTTTACTTAGGGTGCGTTCCACTTAACGCCCGCAACGCTCCTAGGATCATTTTATCCTTGTTTTTCATCGAAAGTTAAACGAGGATAAAATGATTCTAGGAGCGTTGCGGGCGTTAAGTGGAACGCACCCTTAGTCGCGCGTTTTCCATGAACAGATGGCTAACTGAAACGCGACGAAAGTGTGCGAATCGATGGCACGTATCGTTTTACTTGCGGACTGCGAAGAGCGCATCCGCAAATTGTCGTCGTGAAACGCGAAAGATAAAAGTTCAATTTAACGGTTGATGAGTGCAGTTGAGAAATAAAACAAAATCAGCTTATCTGACATTTTTATCGTCACTTATTTGCCTTTCAACCGTTTCACCGACACATCGAAACTTCCGATTAAAATTACATTCACAGTGTTTTTAAACACGCCGTAGTTATTCGCGTAAATAACTTTCACGGCGTATTGAGATTGAATCAATTTGCGAGAAAATAATTTTCCCACCTTGGGAGAGAAAGAGAAAGAGTGCGTGAGAGCGAGAGGAAAATTGAATGTCTCGACTGGAGGGAAGTTGAAAATTATATAGTTAGTTTATTGCCCGGCGAAACACAGTTCGCTAATTACAGAAACAAAATATCTTGCTTCGCCCGTGAGATAGATCTCTATGCGGCAAGCTCGTATTTTTCCGATATCTAATTAAGAGTTTCGTCATCCATTGCGCGCGAGATAACGGAACTCCCCGTCGCGCTATTAAAGTCGTGAGCCTTCCGCGGCGAATAAAATAAACCGTCAATTTTTGCCTTCCGCGACGCTCGAGCAATCCGAAACATTTTATCTCTTTCGCCTTTTAATCTTCCAACGATACACAATTGCGCAGAATAATCCAACATAATACTGTATGTATCTTGTTTTTCCATTTTTTAATTTAATCCGATATCTATAAAAAATTGTCCAATGAGACATTTTTCTTTTTGCTTCTGAAACTTTCGGTGGACGCGTACCGCGCACAGGTACGCTGTATACTGTTACAGTTTGACAAATGAGTAATTCAATATAATAGAATGTACTTTTCAGCACTTTTAATTTAATTCGATATCCATAAAATTGTTGAATGTTGGAGGAGGAATACCGCAGCGCCTAAGGGCTGCGACCGACACAAATTGCAATCGCGGTTGCAAATAATATGAGCGCACCTATCGTTTCTGCCTACTGCACCCTTCTCCCCTCCCCCTCGCCCCTCCCATATCGATTACGCCGCGCGTGGGAAATAATCGACGCCGACCGCGAACGACGTCCTACGACCCATTTAATGTAAAAACGTGAACTCGCTAAGTTAGATTGTAAAATTATGCACAACCCTGGTCAATTTACTTGTCCACGTGCGATTACGCGTCCGCGGTTGTTGCTGGTTACGCCGACTGCGGGCTGCGCGTCAAAAGAGCGCCGGACCTGTTTTAAGTGATAAAAGTATAATCAAGGTTGACCAGCGGCGACGGCGGCAACGGTCGATCCCTTTGCATAAATCGTGAGACCGACTGTTTCGCGCTGACTACGAAATAATCAAGGCTAACTGTAACTCACACCGCGCGTTTTCTCAAGACCTAGAATTGTGCCTCGTGTTTGATGTGACAACACCTTGACGACACCTTCGGTTATACCGATGTTCAATCAATGCTAATTACGGCTCGGTTCTCCTTCTTTACGTTACAGAATTAGTTAACTGAAAAAATAATATTCTTTTATATTCCAACTCTATATTTTTCTATTTTTTTTTTCATTCAAGATTATTTTAGAGCCGTGATTCAACGTACGAATGTCTGCAGTAACACCGATGTTTGTGTACTTTAATGAACAACTTAGATGGCGTATGATACGTCTGCGATCGTTATGATTGAAATTCTCATTCACGCGGCATTATAACTTAAAATCCAACTACTACTAGCACAAAGCGGGCGTCAACTATGCCACAGCACACCTGCTCTCAGGTCTGTGACGCTTCCTCGCCGCTTCCGGCAAACAAAAACAAATTCAACCTACAAAGAGGCAATATAAAAAGGAACCTTGAACCATAACGATTCACAAAGAAACATCAACATTGACATCGCGACCCATCCCTCTGGCCGCCGTCGTCGCCACCGTTGTTTTCCACCCGGCACTTAGGTGGAAACAACAAAGTGCGTGTCCCGGGCACGCGCGCTCGCGTGCTTAACGGGCGTGCGAGAACGGCGTGTCGTGCGTGCGTGTGAATCCGCACGGCAGCGCGCGTGTGCCGGCGCGGCGACGTTAATGTTTGCAATCACAAGTTGGAAAGTTTTGTGATGGCAACCGCTCCGCCGGCCAGTTACCCTGGTAACGCTTTGTTGTGCCATTGTGTCGACCGGCAAAGGGGGTTCCGGTGAGAGGGGGTTGGGAAAAATCCCCTTCACCCGCCCCCCGCGCGTTCGGACGAACCATCACCTGCCCGTCCGCCCTCTCTTCCTTCTTCGCGCCGTCGAGAAATTGGATGAAACGGCCGAGCTATCCCCCTCTCACTCTTCTGAAACCCTTACCCCCACGATTGCTACTTGGGGACGAACTAACCCGGCTTGACCTAGCCCACACAAACTTAACTCCCTCCTCCCGCGTCCTTCGCGATGACGAATAAGGTTCGTATTTCTCCTCTGGACCTACACTTCGTTAACTATTCCGGTAACCTTTCATTTGCGTGAGATCGTCGAATTATGAATAAAGACCAAAGATTGCTGAGAGGCATCTCGAAGGTAATATTCTTTTGCACTTTAAGGATACACAATTCGCAACGGCATTGAATGTATTAAACTTGCAGATTAATCGAAAATTACAGTTTCGAGGAATTTGTGGTCGATATTGATCCTTGATTATTTCGCGTTCCGGACACAAACGTTGAAAACATGAACAGCGAAAATCGATTGTTAAAAGTTCAAGTGATAGCTCAGATTCAAGACATGGCCAAGCGAAGTAAGAGTAAAAGTTTTATGGGTTCAGATGAATTTAGATATCCATTTATTGCGCTCGTTTAAGTTAATATAAAGTAATTTTATTCCAAACAGTTGATATCGCGTGAAGTAAAACGAAGAAATTTATTGCGAAAAAAGCATGCCGCTTACCGACGATTGCCGGCGCGGTAAAAATACCTTTTAGATCGAGCTATTAATAGAATTGTTGCTCAGGGAATTCTCAACCATCCGCGTATTCTAATATCAACTGGTATGTGATATATGTAGATATAAAATAACAGCATTAAATGTTACGAGATACTCCGTAAAATTTTCAGATATGTGATATCTGTATACTTTCATAATTCCCAGTTTACTTAAAAAAATATCATATAAAATAACGTGTCATAAAGATAGTTTGCACGTAACAAAAAGGAATCTAGCACAAAGCTTCTATTTTCCTTCGAGAATTCACAAGACAATTTTATTTTAGAAACCGAGATGTTCTCCAACTGTTGCCCGATTGTGAATAACGCGCTCATAAAAATACATTCGATACAGATTTATTGGCGGAACAACACGAATACTTCGCTGGAACGTGCCAGGAAAAGCTTCATATTTCTCTATGTGAGCGAAGAAATCTTTGGGGAGCGGAAAATCAGTGCTGGAATCACTGCCGAACAATTCGTTGCTTGTTCGCAACGATGGAATGCAAAATTATTCCCGTTAGAGCCGCAAAACAACGTTAATCCTCGACATTAGCGACGAGAATAAATTATGTCGATTTGTCAACAGAAAATATTTTCTACTGCTTGAAGGAGAATTCATTATCAAACATTTGTTTATATATAACGAACGCATTCTATCCATGTTTTTCCGATTCTAACTCTAAGAATAATTATTTGGAAAGTAATACTGTGTCTACAATGTAAATGTTTGAGATTCAAAGACGAATCCCGCATACATATATTCCGAGCAAGCATTCTCGTCGTTCATAGTGACACGTCATACAAAGCGCTTATCGCGCGAGATAACGCTCCCGTAGATATCAAACTCTCCTTCACCTCATTGTCACGAATAAATAATGAGTTATGCTGCGGTTATAGTGGATAGTATTTGCTTCTGTAGCGATAATATTAAACAAAATATTTTCAAACAAAAATTCTGACTGTATGCCTCAGAAAAATATTGATCACTATTGACTGTGGAATAAACGAGATGCTATTTCAATTCGTTTATTTAATATTAACGCGACGTCGGAACGAAGTTTGCAGCAGCATTATTCTAGCAACCACTATAATCATAGCTATCTGAGGAAACCGATGGTCAATCAAAAACAATAAAAGTTTGCCACGCGGTGTTCAAGATATCGACTCGACCGTCACCGTCGGAGCTTCCATCGTCTCGCGTACGGCCGCTCGCGCGGCGACGCGTCGCGCGCCTCTGGAGCGGCGCGTTATCGCAAGTTAACCTCCAAACGCAACGCATAACCACTATCGCGGTGTAAACCGCGTCACTACACGAAAATATTCTGCGTTGAAAGAAAGAATCGTTAGGACTGCGACGCCGGGGTCGACAAGTCGAAATTGACGATTGAACACGCGCGTGATGGCAGAACACGCGATTCGACATTGTCGACGGTCGGCCGAAATTAACCCCCGAAAGAAAAGAAAAAGAATCGAACGTATCCCTCCGTAGCGACGCGCCTTGAACGCGTGACGTTTCACGTCCGGTGCGCCCGTTCACGATATGGACACGAACGACGCGTGTTAGCAGGATAGAAGGCGATTTTCAACTTACTAGTAACTTGTCGTGTGCCACGGAAAAATCCAACGTACCGGGACAAATTCTCACGCACAAACACGAAACTTCGGTAGGCAATCACGTCGCAATGGCGAACCACGGGTGCGTTGTAATCACTGATGTCGTACGCTGCCGTCATCTCGCGGACGGCAACAGTATGAGAACGCGACCAATCGCAAAGCAACGCTGATTTACGCGGGAAAGAAACTGTGCAATGTACGCCATATTGTCCACTACTTTTAACCAAGTAGTTGGCATTATTGACGAGATATGTATTGCAATATCGCAACTTTTCTCATCTCAGTTGCACTTCTTGCATTTAACATGAAATGCATATACATTTATTCTTTAAAGAGAATAAGTAAAAAAGTTGAGCACAGTAAGCACAACTAAAATAAATAGCGTTGAACCAATATTTAATGCAAAAATATATAATTCGCCATATTGAAATAAATGATATAGTCGATATAATAAACTATTACTAAAAATGTAATCAATTTGTTATGCATACCCATTATATCTTCGATGTATTTCAGAGAATCATGTTGAATATAGAAAATGACTCGAATTCTAAACCTGCAAAAACGGATCGCCGATAACAAATGGCGATATTACAACAGCAATCGCATAAAACGTGTTATGACAAACGTCTGATACATTGCAAGCCACTCGTAATCAGTTTCGTGCACAAGACTTACCTTTAAGCCCTAATAATTGCGAGAGATACAGAGCGATTCGAATCTGATCTGCTGCTTATTGTAACGTATTTGTTACTAATGGACACCCTGATATATATGATGATTGGCGACTTTCGAAATTATGCAACGGTCAAAGATATAAAGTTAACGCAGTAATTACTTAACATAAAAATAAAATACTTGATAGAGTTTTATAGATTAGAAATATAACCAAAATTTAAAAAATCAATTATAATTTAATAATTTATAATATAAAACGTGAAATTTTTCATAAGATTCTTTTTTACCATCTTTAGTTTAACTTACAGTTTTCTATTGTACCCGCAATGTTTGCTGAGGGCGTTAGTGTACGGAGATATAAATATATTTCACAAGTCCATAATTTTCACAAGATTAGCAATATATATTTTGTTGTGACAAATATTATTATATTGCATCATGTCTAGCGAAATGAGTACAATAAATACTGAAAGTATGGATTTCGATAGCGAACTCCATCAAATGGAGAGAGCGATTGATCATTACAAGTTGAAATTGCAAAGATCCCGCGAGAACTATGAAAGAGTAGAAACAGAAATTTGCGACGTGAATCAATTGCAGCACAAAGCGTCATTTATGTTAAACGACATGCAATTAAAGAAGGAAAATCTCTATGAGTGTTTAAAGAACATACATTTGAATTACGAATCATGCGTGGAAAAATCGGGTGGTTACAAAGATCAGGACGAAAAGATTCGCACAAAGGTAAGCGAATTGGCGACAAAGAGAAGCAATTTAATGGAAGAACTAACACAATTAAAAAAAAATGCCGACGATAATGACAAGAAGCTCGTTCGTGTAAAAGCTATGATCACGGAACAAGAAGTAAGTAACATTAAAGTTCACTGTTTATAATTAATAATAACATAATACTTATAAATTATAATTATAATAAAATATACTTATAAATTCTGTAAAGAAAAATCTTTAATTTAGCAAAAAAATATGATGTTACTTCGGGAACTGAAGAAAAAATCTGAAAATGTCACTTTCATCCAACAAAGTATAGAAAAGCGGATAGATACTGTTCTACAGCAATTAAAAATAAGCGACAACGACGATGTTACTGATAATACATTGCAATAAAACTTATCAATTTTATAGAAATAAAATATAAATTTAATATTTTCATAAATATTATGTAACGTGTATTTATAATAAATATTTAATTTACTATTTTTTAAATAAAAATCCGTTATTATATTTGTTTATTTCTATATATATATATATTTAAAAATATCAAAGGTTTATCTTTAAACTATTCGTTTTCAATTATTTCAAAACTAGTCATTAATTGATCATACGTTTTCTTTAAACGTCCTAATATGACGGGTGCGTTATTTAAATGTCTCCTTATGTTCTCATTCAAAGTGCATATTCTCGCTCTACCTTCCATAACTTTTTTTTTTAGAGCTTCGTTTCCTTTTTCCATTTCGTTCACTTCCTTCTTCAATTCCTCGATCGCTTTCTTCATCGTATCTGCATCCAATGATTTCATGTGGGAAGTTACATCTCCCGGTGGACGCCTGCAACAGGCGATAAAACAGACTCAGTAAATAAGGAAACATATGCAATTTCTAACAAATATAACACTGACCATGCGTCTTCTTTAGGTAATAATGCGCTTTCTTCCGATAGTCTGCTTATTTTAGTTAGAGCATTCTCCAAACTAACTTCATTGAATATTTCTTCGAAATCATTCATCATACTGCTATACAGATCTTTTATCATGACCTTGTGCAACTTCGTGGCTTTGGGATCCGCTTTGAGAAACGTAAATATTTCGAGAAACTCATCTTCGCTGGAACAAAAAAATATGACGAAGCGAATTATTACGCGCGAAATAAACGAGTACTTCGCGTGCGATCACTGTGCCAATTTAAGAATTCACTAACATATAATTATTGTCATCGTGGTTCGAAAGAACGATGCCCTTATCTAATATTAATGTATATCGCGACGGAAATAAGATACAACAAACTGCTGCGAGGCACGGCTTGAATTATTCGTTTTTATCTCGGTTCACAGAAAGACGTCTTATCGACCTACATGATACGCGCGCGGCACAGTGTAAGAAAGATACCGCGCCCTTACCGACGGCACCAACGCACGACCGGATGCGCGTTCTCCCGTATGATGCATAGTTAGTATCGCTACGTCGGGCGTCGAATTTTTTTTTTTCTTCTGCCGACGCCAGACAAAGAGCAGCGGCGCCTCAATCACAGAGAATGCGCCTCTCGAACGGTTCTAATCGACTCTCTACGCCGTGTTATAATAAGCATACAATGGCAAGATCCAATCTCCTTACACAGCTTCCGACGTCTTAAAAATACACCGGAGCGTATCGCGTTTATTTCGAACGTAACATTCGCATATATCTCATTCCGCGCATATAAACGCCACATTATTGGACTTACCTAGGTTTTCATACCATCGTAATCGCGTATTGTCCGCGAGAATAGCAGCGTCGTTCCTTGCATACTTAATCAGGCCGGGACTGGTGCAATTTGAAATCAATACTACATATTTGCATTAGTCCAGACCTAACTAAGCACACCTCCGCTTCCGATAATCCGAGCACTCGCTCGCTCAACAATCTATCAACACACTTGCAGTTTTCAATCGCGAGGCACAGAGTCGAGAATCAACGGCAGAAATAAACGCGTACATAAACGAGCGCATTGTCAGACTTACCCAACTTTCATGCCATCACAATTACGCGTCCGCACGCATGCACGCACGCACGCACGCACGTACGCGGGACGTTACACTACACGAGTGACCGACGGTCCCGCGCTGGTGATCACGACGGGGGCTCTCTTTGTTTCCTCGAACGCTTCGTGGAATTCCTCGAAGGTCAACTGGTGCGCCTGGTGGAGCGGATCCTCGCGAAGGAGGCTTTCCTGAAAGGCCAGGCGACGCCGAAACAGACCATCGATTTGGCAGATTATCGCGAAAACTCGCGGACGACGTGATCGCGAGCGATTAACGCGGACGTAGTGGCCACGTGAGCGACGACGGGTCGGGAATTAACATACGAACCGCGGAGGCCAATGACATCAAGTAACACCGAGCCGTGCGTTTAGGTCATCGACGATGCCGATCCCTCCCACCTTTCGACCCGCTGCCTCGCCATACCAATAACCCATGAATCGGTTTCTTGTAAAAAAAAAAAAGAAAAAAAAGATCGGTATATATATATAGGCCACGGTCAAAGACATGTAGTTGACTGTGGTACATATTTTAAACGAGATTTGAGACTTCAGATATTGTAGACATGAAAATATGGATTTTTCTAATCATTGCATATAAATGTACAGCGCGGACCAATAAGTCACTTCACAATTTGCATATTTTTTTAATAAGATTAATGGAGGCAAATATGCATCTTGTAGATTGTATATTTTTATCAGAATGAGTACACATGTAAAATATATATTTCAAAGTATAGAAAAATGAAACCATAAAAAATAAAAACGTTTCAAATGTCTTATTATTTTGTTTTGGAAAGAATTATTTTCTTGGCAAAATGTGAATATTCTGAGAGTGTAACAGCGTTTTTTTACATTTTTATATTTCTTAGTTTTATTGCACAATGCATATTTTTAGTTTTATTGTAACATTAAAATTCCAGAGCCTTCAATAATTTCTTTATCAATGTAGTATTTGAATTCGTTGAAAAAGAAATACAGAAAACAATAGAAAATCTTCAGGAATGTAAATTCAGGGATGCTTTTCGAAATATTTTCGACATGTTTGACATATTTCGATAACGATAATTATTATTGCGTATGTTAGGCAGAAAAATCATAATTTACAATTAGATATATGATTGGAAACTAGAAATGTATGAAAATACAAGTTTTACTCGATCAAGAGACAAAGACAGAGAATAAACATGAAGCATAAACAAAAGATAAGAAACGTATAAACAATCATCGAGGCACAACCGATAATTGAGACAGCTTGTAGAAAAGCGAAAGCTCAAGCGAGCGATCGTGATAATAACGTCAATCGCCTTAAATCGACAGAAAATGAAAGAAATGCACAATAAATAGTACGAATGAGAGGTTAGGTGTGCGAATCTAAAGGAAAACATGTGAGTGCGCGCGCTTTTCGCAAGACTCGTTGCTCACCTCACAGACTTGGCTATCTTCTCTAAATTATTGAAGATGGCCATCCGGAATAACTGCATGCTATTCGAACAATTGGCTTCTTCGTCCTCCGCCATTTCCCAGCTGCCTCTCTCGTTCGTGTGCTAACAAGCGATTCTTCGTGAGGCAATAACGGTTTTCAGCTTCTCGCGTCCCAACGAGATTCGAATCGCTCGAAAGTGTGTCGGTGTATGAACAGCGTCCCGAACCGGTTCGGGACATCGGAACTGTGCGAGTTTCGGATGTAATACGGAGATGGCGTTTGCAGTGCGAATGACGCTTGAATTTGATAACAAGCGTATGATGATTTGAAGTTGCATTGTCGGCATTGCCAACTAGAGAATGTTTATAGAACGTGTTTATTTTTGTTTATTGAAGATTAATTCGTAAATAGGATATTTTTGCTCCCTTTTCTTGAAAATTTAACATGAACAATTAGTCTGCTATTTATATTGTTAATTTTTCTTGGATTGTTGTGTTTAATTTTTAGTTTTAATGACTGCACGAAAACGGCTATCCCTTGTGCTGAATATAGAGGTTATTTAGGTTAGTTACGTTAAATTATGTTGCTATCTTCTTATTTCTCGTATTTTTACTGAATGCCTATTTTTTTAGATCAATCAGCAATCAGAACCGGTTTGTAATCAATGAAGTCTTCATAGCGAATTATTATTTATTATTTTATGATTGATTATTACGGCGAAAGTTCTTCGTTGACGGAGATATCGAAACTGCGGTACAAATAGTTAATTAATCCCTGCTGTGGCCACAGTATCGCATGTCAATATAATATATAATTGCTCTATAGTTGAAGATGCGATTAATCGACTGTTCCTTTCTACGGTATTATTTGATGTAATTGAAGCTGTCATACGCATCTTATATAAGAAAAAAAAAATCATTGTTAATTGTCAACGTTTGTTTTGTAGGACAGATTTTTTATTTGGTATTGTTTTTATTGGGAATGTTCCGCAATTGCGTTAATTACTCGGCTGATGGATACAAGGCCGCTCTGTATATGGATAAGCAATGTGCTGTCCCAAATAATTATTACATCAGGATGATATTAATATTGACATCCGGCGGACAAATAAGGATCTTTTGATCGGGCGTACATGATGTAAATTACATCACGCTCGCGAAACGCCACGCTCCTTGTTGACTTTTTTTATGATTTGCTTCGGGGAGTCGGAAAGCGCCGCGAGCTATCGTCCAAAAGTCGGCGGAGAAAGGATTCACCCCGCGGGATTTCGATCAACCAATCCATCTCGGTCCTCAATAATCTGCCCATCAATCCTCGCGCAATTTCCTCTTATATTCGCGCAGTACTCAAGGTAAGCCGGGTCCATGATGCGAAATTGTTTGCACATATTTTTCACCGTCATCGTCACCTTTCAGATGTGCGCTGGCGTTTGAGCTAGGACCCGCTACCGCGGCAGCTGCACCCCTCAGTCTAATACGCCTATACGCGCTTTTATGCTTTCCAAAGGTCAGCGATGACGACGAAGAGAATCCATACCTTCTTGTCTAGTGGTCCGAGAAACGCGATTCGAGAGCACGAAGTGATGTTGCGCGACGCGCCTTAGTTATATTATGCAACCGGCTCTAGCCGCCGGCTTGAACTATATTTTCTTTTGCTCGGCTCACCTCGCGCTACCGAAGCATCCATTCACTCGACTTGCCAACAAGAGAGGAGCATCGTTGGTGTAACCGGGAGAATCGCGATAGGTATCCCGCGGCGGTTCATCTCTCTCTTTCTCCACTTGAATCGATAGGTGACACAATGATTTCGCGATCGTTGATTGAAATCCCGTGACACGTTTTCAAATTCCAACGCACAAGTGCGCGTCGCAGAAGCGCGCGACAAGTCACATTAAAAAAAAAAAATAATATTTGATTGTTCTCAAATATCGGCTCTATCGATTCCTGCGAGAATCCATCCATCATACTGTAGAAAGTACATATCAAGAGAGATGATCGTGGGAAGATACTAACCGGCAATAAAATAACACCGCTCTATTTTGTTGCAGTTTCGAAACGAAAGGGTACGAAAATGAAGTAATAAAAGCAGACAATATCTATTAATGACGGTAGAATGTGAATGTAACAAAAATTGTTAATGGGAATTAACGAGATGTTCCAATTGTGCATCTCGCGAAAATGATACGTCAAGACGCTGAATTGCCGCGATAATGGTGACTTATGCGTTTATTCACAACACGATGGAAGCAAGCATTAGTATGTATAATAAAATTTAACGTTTTACACTATTAAGAAATTTATTCTCGTCAAGTATTCAAACATATATTTATTTCAATTTATTAATGAACATATATTTTAGTTTTGGATATTAGAAACTTACAATTATAGATTAAGTCGATATATATATATTTTTTTTTTAGCAAAATAAACAATGATTTATTTATTATAATAATTGCGCTTAAATATTTAGCATATACTAATAAAAATAAATAAAGAATTATATAAAATAAACGAATATAGTAACCGATGAGAGTACTTTCATATTTAAGGAGACAGGACACATCCGTGTAATCTAAATGTTTTTCTTTGGCAAACATAATTAGCCACTAGAATGGACCGCGCTGCCCACACTCCTGGCATCACGCCGCTCAGGAGCTAAATGCAATAAAACCCGAACGGTCGCGATCGCACCTATCTCTCAACCCCTCGCACGTACAAGGCGTAGAAATCTCCGATCCGCTCTTCTTCCTTTCTTCCTTTTTTGCCGTCTCACGGAGTTGCGTCAAGACCGCGACACATAAGAGAACCGCCGAGAGACCGCAGCTTTTTTTCTTCCATCGACCTCCGACGCAGGCTCCCATTCTTTCGAAATAGCGCGATCGCGTATCTTACGAGGTCGTACGAAAGAGAGCGGAGGGAGGACCATATGCTCCCGGTTCTACACGATCTCTTTATTATATATCGCTCTTTAATAACGGACCTCGAGATACACTTCCGCGATATGTTGCGAGGCTTAGTCGTATTTGCGCCGTCGGATTATAGATAATTTGCACAGACCCGCATCCAGACATAACAAGTTGTTTATGTCTACACAATAAAAACGACGACCTCAAATAAATGTCCTTCAACGCGTTTTATTTTTTTTGCAGATTGTCTGCATTTAGGGAGTATCGCCGGTCAAGGAGACTGCGTACTTTCGAAAAGTCGACTCCATCCCTACATGATAAATAAGATTGAAAGATGCTGAGATCGTCCGAGCAAGGGCGATTAATCAGTGAAGCACGAGTGAATCGCTTCCCTCGCTCCCTTCCCATTATTTTGCCGGCGCGCGGAATTCGATGCTCCTTGAGATTCGCAGTGAACAAGTTTTGAGAGTTCTCGCGCCTCACGTCTGGTACAACACAAGAGCGAAACAAATGAATGTGCACAGATGGGTGTGCCGAGAGAGACAGATATGAATGCACAGATAGTTGAGTATTCTCGAGGAATATCGGTGAGTCCGATACTTTTTCAAGAGCGCCCCGCAGAGCAGAATGCGATACGGTCGTCATATCCTATTATCGAGCTCACGATACCGTATGATTTTTTTTATTTCAGTTGCACCCTTGTATCCAGCCTGCAGAGCACATCTATCTCATTGCTGAGACTGCAACATTATGCGATACTATATACGATGCTTCGCGACCATCTCGTGTTGCTTCTCCATTTGTTTCTTACCTGCTTGCGCATTGAATTCACCAAGAGTTTCACGTAATGTCGAAACGATCGCTAAATATGGATTTGAAGTTCGGCCGTTCTATCTCGTCGCAGAAATCGCGAGATGGTATCGCACGTATGCCGTCTATCTCGCCATCGCGAGGTGAACGCGATGCCTATTGGGAAGCGATTACGACTCCGTCGAGGCGTCTATGGCTCGAAGTGTGAGCGCTGTGACCCAAGGTGGATCGTTAACCTGGTGAGTTACGTGCCGATAGGCAATACACGGCGATTTCGAACGCGCTCCGATCTCACGCATTTGCGTGCAACGCTTTTTTTTATGGAACTGTTTACGGCATTGGAATGGCGCATTGAAATATCAATAATGCGAACGCGTAGCGTCTGCGATCGATGTGAGGCTTCGCCGATCGGCGATTTTGCGAATTAGCCTTTTACAATTTGTCTTATGTAATCCGTCGAATCCTCGTGTAACCGGATCTGATTTTTCGTATCGATCATATAATTAGCCGACTATCCAGATGGCCTTAGTAAAAGCGCACGCGATTTCCTGACAGGATAATAACTTTCATTAATAACTCACGCTGCAACGAGCGAAGATAATAAACTTCACATGCACATCGTACATCGACATGTTTGGGAGCGCGGGAGATCACTTTGGATCGCCCAGGCGCCCGGGCGCACGCACAAGATCGTCATGCACGCACGTACCAGCCGAGATGCTCGACGCATCGATTGCACAACGAGCTCGCTCGATTGCGGAGCGCGCATTGCTCTCCATAAGCTGCGGCGATGCTGATGGCGCGAAGCTGTGACCCCGCGGCGGACGGGTGTAATTTTCGCATCGAAAGAGCCGATATAATTACAAGGGAGAACGCGCGGCGGGTGCTACATGCCGTCATCGGCTCGGCTGCCTCTCCGCGCTTTCTTACCGTTTTCCTCTTCGTCCGCGGAAAAATTCCAAATTGTATTCGGAATACAACTTTTAGCGCTTGTACGAAGCTATAAAGCGATGAATAATTATTTTTTGTATCTTAAGTGGTCTTCAATGGCTGGCGACTGATTCATGCTGTTCTACTTTTACAGCTCATTGTTCTCAATCCCATTGCCTCATCCCGACCCCATTGGCTGACCTTCAGGTCCGTCATCCAGAGACGCCCGTTGATTTGTATCACCTATTGCATAATTACACTTCATCCTAAGTCGAGGCTTCATCAACCAAGAGGCCTCCTCCGTCCTCTTGACGGCTCTCCCACCGCTTTTTCATTCGGTATCTCCGGGATCTCTTTTTTTTCTTTTTTCTTTTTCCCTGCGGCGGTACCTTTCGCAGCGAGGATCGTTGGCGAATCTTCGAGGAACGCATCACCGGGTGATGTCTGCCCGCGCGATGCCATCCACGCGCGCGGTTTTCTCATTGGCGGGTGGGAGGAAGACAATCCTCGCGGAGATCGGTATATAAGCACGTTGCATCCGACCTGGATCCGCGCAGACCAATTATCGTCGTTGGTTTGACGATATATACACATACACACGGTTTGAGACCCCGTTGCGGCGCGACGTAGCAACATCAGTTGGGATTCGGTCGACGAGATGAAATTGGTACGAGGTGCAGATGTCTTTTCACAACTTCCGGTCGCGCCCGGAAATCCCGGATTTCCCGTTTTTAACGGCCGATTGAATCGACGTCGATTTTCACCGCGGAATTCACCGCGTATCGGGTATTTTGTTCTGTGCGCACGGTTCTTCCGCGCTAGTGCGGCTTCCGCTTCACGTGTGAAACGGTGTCTATGAAGAAACGAAACTTTTTTTTATACTTACATCTCTTCACTACCCAATTTGTACCTTCGATCAATTTACTCTCTCGAATTGCAGTATCCATTCAATTGATATAACTCGAACTTATTTCAGCAGCTAGCCACTGCATTACTGACCATTGTCAGCGCGTGTTACGCTGCACGGCTGGACAGCATTTACCTCCCGCCCGGTAGCGCAGGGAACGCAGGTGGCGCAGGACTGATTCACCCTCTAGGACACGATGGGGGTGGTGTTATTAAAAACAGCGGACCGATTGGTCCAGGTGGACATGGTGGTCCAAGCGGACCGATTGGTCCAGGTGGACATGGTGGTCCAAGCGGACCCGGTGGTTTAGGTGGACCTGGTGGTTACGGTGGATCTGGTGGTTACGGTGGACCTGGTGGATTCGGTTCCAGCGGTGGTGGCGGCGCTTATCCTGGTGGTGAGTCGGAATGAAAAAGGATGTAATTATTTTGTCTTGTGCATAATTTTATGTACTTGTTGGAAACTGTGAATTCTCTTTTTTCTATTATCTGTGATTATTACGTAATTAAAATTTAAATTAAATATATTCTATTTTGCAAATGTTATATTAAATTTTTTTTTAAAGAAAACAGTTCTTTTATGTCCGCGATTTAGAATTACCTCGTTCCTAATGTTTTATTTTTGTATCTTAGGTAATGAATTGGGTGGCGGTGGATTGCGAAGATCTGACAGTCAGGAAATACCTATTCTCGCTTACAACAACGAGAATCCCGGCGACGGAAATTACCAGTTCAGCTATGAGACCGGAAACGGCATTAGCGTACAAGAAACAGGTCATCAGCAAGGTAGAAGATCGCATTTCCGTTTTTTTTTTTATATTAAATTACTAACAAAATTATCGAAACGACTGCGTTTCGACTTTGATTCGTACTTCATTATGAACAACGATCTCTAAACGGAAAAATCGTGGAAGTGTCATTTCGCAACGCGGCGTGTTCGACGATACCAAGAAATACTGTCGCGTCAAAGAGTGCGTGTTGCAGGAGAATCCGAATCTGTAAGCGGATCCTTTTCCTATACCGGGCCCGATGGTGTGCAATACTCCGTCAGATACACGGCGGACGAGAATGGTTTTCATCCTGAAGGCGCTCACTTGCCGACACCGCCCCCGATACCACCGGAAATTCAACGAGGTGTTGAACTGGCACTCGCCGCCGAAGCCAGAGGAGAGAATCAGGATGGTGGATATTCACATGGAGGAGACGGCGGATATCCTGGCGGAGGTGAGTCATGAATCACTTATAATCAGCTATAGACAATGTCATTTGTTTATTTCAATGTTTCGTTTACTCCGTCATCGTCAGGCGGTCGCGGCGGTCACGGCGGTCACGGAAGTCACGGTGCATATCAGGGACCGAGCTCGTACCAGACGAGCTCAGGCAGTGGATACCAATACTAGACAGCAAGTCACATCATATGCAGGCACGCATACCATATACTCTATTTTTTGCGACTTATGTACATAACAATATATCATTAATGTGATTTTTTTTATTTATATAAAACACGGGTATTTTATTTATGGAACGCCCATTCCCCCCCCATTCTTTTCCCTTCAAGTCGCCTTCGTGCACCAGCTGCACGTTCAAACAAGACGGTCAAACTTTGTACGCTGTTATATCGATTATAAGATAATTAACTATGTCGCGCATTATTCTGCGCTTCACTTTTATATCACAGTTATCTATCCATTTCAATATTATATATATTTTTCTCTTTGAAAATATAAAAATGTTACTATACTGTGAAATATATATTTATTATATATAAGTTATTTTACATTTATATAAATATTTTAATATTCTGTTATATGTATATAAACAAATTATTCTATTCAATATATCAAAATACGTATTTCAATAATAAAATATCTTCACTGCAATACAACTTCAAAATAATCGCACAATCTTTACAATTAGTAAAATAAAATACAATGTGTATTAATATAACTATCTTATATCACATAAAATTAGAATCATCAACCGTTACACGCAATATAAATTATAATAATAGCAATAATTTGCTTGTAATATAGCAATACTGACTCGTAGATTAATATTAGCTTGTTTTTAATATATTTCAGATATAAGTATATTTTAACTTGCTTTCTATTTACGGTATTTCTTCATAATTAGTAATAGACTTTTTGGGTTGCATCATTTCTGCTCCTCTCGCAAATTGTATAAAGAGTTGTTCTAAAGTTGCCGATAAAACGGCATAATCTTCAATGCAGCTGTATCTTCGGTCCAAGTCTTTCATTGTATCGTACATCGTTATCCACGTTGTGTTAGAATCAGTTACGTGATAGGCAAGATAGCCCTGTAAAAAAATAAATGGCAATAGAAACAAAACTGAAGTAACTCAAATCGTTACGGATCTTCTAAGAGGAATACAATCGTTACCAAATTTTCGTCTCTAATATCACATGTTAGAGTAGACTCGATGGTTTTCTTAATATTATCAACGTCCTCTTCCGATCGGCCCGGATTTAATTTCACATGAATATCGTAACCCGCTCCAAAGCGTTGTTTCAGTTCCTGACTTGCACCGATGCAGACCAACTCGCCCTTCACCATAATGACTAAACGATTGCAAAGTGCCTCACACTCTTCCATACTGTCGAATAATGCAATTTTAGTATTTGATTTAATAAAATAAGTTTTACTTGATTTTTAACGAGTGCAGACAGTACTTGGACAGCTCTAAGAGATACCTGTGAGATGTAAGTATAATTGCTTGTCCCGCCGCTTGACAGGACTGCAATGTATTCCATAGCGATCTTCTAGCCGCAGGATCGACACCTGTTGTGGGCTCATCCAGAAGAACAAGAGTAGGATTACCTATGAGAGCCATTGCGATATTTAAGCGTCTCTTGTTACCGCCACTGTATGTACTACTTGGCTGTGACATGCAAGCTGTTAAATCTGAAAGGAAATGTATGTTGAGTCATTTTACACAAAATGACTTTCTTTCTCTCATCATCGTCGCGTTCACTCACTCAGTCTATTAATCCATTTGTTAACTTCCAATTCCACATTTGCCTTCGGTATACCGCGAAGACGAGCGAATAGACGTAAATGATCGAAAGAGTTCAAGGATGGTATTAAGGCATCTGTTTGCGGACAGTATCCCATTTCAGAAAGATACTAAGAAAAGAAAACAACGAATTATAAACAACATGATGTTGAAGAAAGTAAATTGAATGTAAACTATTGTTACCTTTCGTCTGTCTGAATGAATTTCTGCTTGTCCTAAGTACATTATGCCACTATTTGATATTTCTTCTCCGGTTAACATTCTAAAAGACGTACTTTTTCCAGCACCGTTTACACCGAGTAATCCAAAACATTCTCGTGGTTTCACTCGAAAACTGATTTCTTTTACGGCCATTAGCTTTCCATAATATTTGCTTAGTTCGTATACTAAAAACAGACTGTCATCTTCGTTTGTCGGGCTGTGCAGTAATTCAGAATTAATGGCGTCTGCAGAATTTACTTTGGGTTCTTGTTTTGCAACGTTTTTATCTATATGTAAAATATGCAATATTAAATATTATTACACATAAATACTCTTACATATTCAGTGTTATCTCTCTCTAACATTCTATATCAAAATACTATTTAAAATATAGGCAAAATTATCTTACTTTGACTGTTAATTTTATTGATTTCTAGCGCTACTGTAAGTTTTTCTTTCTTCACTTGATCATCCATTGTTTCCTGTTCCATCTTTAATTTTCTCGTCTTTGTAAATAATTTCTTAAAGAATTTTTCTTCTATCATAATCAATAGAGTAAAATACAAAATTGGTGTTAAAGATAGATACACTATACTTTCTTCGAAACTCATATCATCTTCGAAGTTTTTAAAGTAATTTAATTGATTTCTGCAAACTCCATCCGCACAATCCAAACCTGAAGAGAATTATGATTAAGTAAGTTACTGTTTCTATTAATAGCGTAAAATTACATTTTTCATATACATTATGTCGATATTGCACACTCTTACCACAACAAGGGTCAGCGGAATTATCATGGGAACGTGACAGACAAACTATATCGTGAAATCTATTTGGTAAACGACGACATCTTGCATTTTGTACTGCTGTTTCGAAGAAAGATAATTCACCATGGAATAAACTTATATAAGGAATTAGGCGCACAATTCTCTTTTGCGTAATATATAGCCAGTTGAGCCAGTCGAAATTGTGTATTACTTGGTGTAAAAGATATTGTATTATAACTGAAACATAGATTTTTAATAATATTTTCAAGGAAATCTTTCGAAGAGAAATATTATAGTAAACTTACCAAGACCGAGAGGTGAGAGGCACAAAATGGTTATTATTGTACTTCTTGACTTATTCACAAAACTGAATATGTAGTCAAGAAGTAAAACGTTAATGCCAAACAATTGTAAGATCAATATTGTGCATACTGAAAGAATGTAAATAATAATTTAGAGATACTAAAACATAATATTAATTAATCTCAACACTTCGCGGTTTGCTGATATAAAAATCTAATAAAATTGAAGCACTTTGATCAGTCATAAATATATTTATATGTAATAAATTCGATTCGCGATGGCTGAGAACCATCGACGATTCGCAATGTCGAAATAGACGCGAAATAGTTTGCTGTTAGAGAGTTGTCCGCAAAGTGTTAATTTAACTTACAATACTTACGTATTTCTACTCTGTGGTATAGACGAATATCAAGTATAACATCCATGATGTAAAATCCTAAAGTAATTAATAGTACGCTCATCGTGTATATCAAATAATCAAAAGCAAACATCGTTGCCCAATACGATATTGACGTGACACCGGTCATACGTTGCAGTTGTTTAACTTTCGTTGCTGTTTCCTGTAAAGGATGCACTACAAAAAGTGCCACAGTAGGGAAGAAGAACGAACAGAATATCAAAACGCGCGAAAGCGATTCCGCTCCTGGCATTTGTATTCTAGTCGAGGCAAGCGTGTTTGGTAATGCTTGTCGAGATATAAGAATCGAATGTTGGTCGCCAGCAAAAGCTTTGATAAACGAATTACTCAAAAGATTGACTGTTAGCGGCACACTATGGATTGCTAAACCAGAATACAATCCATTAACCAATGTTTCATTTCCAGTTGCATTAAATTCAGCAGATACGATAAAATTGTTGCGATATTCCGCAATATTCTCCGTAGAAACATTCAGAAGAGCTAAAAAAAAGCAAAAAATTGAAAAACAATCTATCGTTTAAATAAATTTATTGTTAAGTTTAATTTAAGATATCAAAGTTTAACTTAAGATATTGAAAATCACTTAACACTTACCATTTATAACATTTATATCTGGAGCTGTGCGCTCTGCAGATATTCCGCCGAAATATTTAATCGTATCTCTGTATTTCTGGCCCATTGTATCTTCGTTCGAAGAATAGAAAGCTTTTGAATGTCTGTACATGTCAAGTTGTAATGGAATTATATCTGTAGAATCCTTTGGCAAAGTAAAACTTAAACCCATTAAAAGATCTGCGATGATAGGAAGAATTAACTGAAAAAATTGATAAAAAATGTTAAAAAATGTTTAAAAAAATAAACAATGTAAAACATAATGGCAGCTATTTTTGCATTCATAAAATTCATATTGCATCTTTGTATTCGTAAGATAATTGCTCGGGAGAAATACTTACGATCACCAGCAAATTATTTATATTCTTTTTTGTATATGTAAATTTTTTGCTGAATAATGCCAATATTGATTGTATGAATAGCGCGCTGCCTGTAATTTTCTCTAATGGCGATGTAAATAATTCATTAAGATGTGTTCCACTGTCCTCTTTCTTTACTATCCTGTAATAAGCCGCAAAAAAACAAAATCAATATCAATATATTCATATTTATCGATAATGGTGTAAAACAAGTTTCAGAAAGCATACTTCAAAAATACTTGTTCCAAAGTAATCAACGATACGCTAATTCCTGTAATTCCCAAGTTTTTCTTTTGACTTTCTACTTTATCCAGTGATTGTGGTAGATCATCGTTATAAGGTACATTTAAAATAATTTTTCACTGTCAACGGAAAGTTGTTGAGTTTGCGCATCAAATTTACTTATGACTTGACCAGGAATGCACCACGACTTTGTCGATAATGTAACTTCTATGTGCCCGTGACCTAGAACAAAGAGTTGTAATTTATGCAAGAAGTGCGCGAAATAATATATATCTTACCATATTGTTTCTCCAGAAACATTGCAGTGCCGTAACATCTAAGACGACCTGCATGCACTATCGCGATTCTATCGCCAAGTATATCAGCCTCTTCCATATTATGTGTACTAATTAATATTGTCTTTTCTCCTCTAAGTTTCTGTACAAAAATATAACACAAGATGTATATATACTGCAATGTATCAGACATGTCTATAAATCATCTCATTGAAACAAATCAATTTAAATTTACTTACTAATAGAGCATCCCATGTATCTCGTCTGGTTTCAGGATCCATTCCCGATGTTGGCTCATCCAAGATTATAATCTAAAAGTAAATTTAATTTTTTTAAATCCATACGTGCAATGCACGTTGTAACTGTGTCACAACTTACATTAGCATCACCAATGAGCGCCATTCCAAGACACAATCTTCTTTGTTGACCACCGGAAAGTTTGCTAGGAAGAAAACTTCTCTTTTCAGAAAGCTTCAATTTAGAAAGTAAAATATTGACATCCTCTTTGATTTGCTCCTTGGTTTTAGTTGTAGCTTTTAACTGAAATGACATAAAAATCGCAATGAGGACAATTGATATGTTTTGCATATGATTTCGTTTCACAAAAAAATATTGTCATTCTTACCCGGCCAAAGAATTCTATTTGTTCGAATACATTTAAATCTGGGAATACCATGTTTTCCTGAGGACAGAGTCCTAAATCGTTTCTAATTTCGTCTAAATGGTTTCTTATGTTTTTGCCGTTTACAAATACTTTTCCTTCCGTTTCACTTATTACACCTTGAATGTAAATATAATGAATACTTCCGCAAAGTAGCACTCTTTACCTGTTGTGTTAAAACTATTTTTTTTTAATACAATATAATACCTGTTAATATGGACATAAGTGTAGTTTTGCCTGCTCCATTGTGTCCAAGCAAGGCTGTAATTTGTCCTTTGTAAAAGTCCACGGAAATTCCTTTTAACGCATGGACTTTCTGAAATATAATTTAGTATTAAAAAAATTATAAAAATTTATCTTTGATATAAACTTACAGATTTTTGAAAACAGCTTGTTGTATAAGATTTCTTAAGATCACGTATTTGTATTCCAGCTGTCAGTACACCACCTATTACTGGTTCAAAATCTTCATTACCTATTTTATCATAATCAAGTTCGATAGCTTCTTCATCAAGGGATATTTTGTTCTTCTTGATATACTGTAAAACGCATAAAGTTATTACATTTTATATCAATATCAGTATTTCTTCCTTTTTATGTTCTAAAGTTAGATCATAAATAATTTGTCTGATAAATATTTTTAATCGTTGTGAAAGTTCTTTATGATTCACATCAATATTAATAGCTTTTTAATAGCTATTTTCAACTTGCCTTCAAAAAGTATAATGGATTTTTTCGAACTCCATATTTGCCGGGATGTATGGCATTTACATATACTGCGAGAGTGAAATGTATCACAGCACCCAAAATTGAGAACAAAAATATAAAACCTGAACTTCCTGCAGTACCATATTCTACTTTCCCAGGGATAAAAATATTATTCCAGTGAATGCCAATTACTAAAACAAAAAAAAAGTTGCTTAGTGGTATATATTTTTTTGTTGTATATATTGTGGTATATATTTATATTTTTTTTTGTTTAAAGTTTCTGTAATATATGAAATTAATATAAATAATTCATAAATTACACACATTTACTTTCCTGTGCAGTTGTTTCTTCGAAAAATCTGTACAATAAAATATTTGGAAATATTATACCAAAATATGGTATAATTTTAAAAGATTCTTCTTTTGCCAGAGTCGAATGAAGTGAAACTTCTCCCATGTATATGATAGATAAAGCAGTTGTCACAAAACGTGCTGTAAAGAGATTGAGAATATAATTGATGCATCGAGAAATATTGCTTTTTATTTTATAAACAATATTACTTACGTTTTGAAAAGTATGCTGCAATATGCATGCCAAAACTTATAAGATGAGTAATGTGTGCAGTGAATAAAAGCCAAAATATGAATGCGTTTCCGTATTCTAAAAAGGCTTCGACATTTGTAGAAAAAGTATTTTTAAATAATATGATTATTGGAACTATATAAATAGTGCTGAATATTATTCCTGTAATTAACCAACTTAGTAAATTATAGGCTATTGTTACACCATTCATCGCCATTAAAACCTGTGAACAGTAAACAAGCAAATAAGATTTTGCAATAATCAAACACATAAATAAGAAGAATTAATGCAATAGTGTACTAACGTTTACGCCAATAAATTTTTCTTTTGAAGCATAGGTAGTTTCAATGCAAAGTGGTATTAAAAAAGCTATGACAGCAAATGTACTAATAACTTCACGTAATATTATATCAGCTTCATCTATTTTAATATGCGGCGGATAAGGCATTTGTTGTATTGACATCTGAAAAGTATATGTATTAAGAAACAAGCAATAATATATTAAGAAACAGCAATAAGGCAAAGAATATATAATACTGATAAATAGTTTATATTATTTAATGTTTTCAATGTAAATTTTCTGAAACGTAATAATAAAAATTTTTACTTTTATATTTGCCATAGAGTTTGGTGCCATTTGATTTATGAAAACTCGATCTACACACATCTGAACTTGCACAATTGGAACTATGTCATAATATATCTTAGGTGATGCACTCATACGTTCACCTAGTACGCTTTGATACAAGGTATTTGGAATCTTCCAAGAATGTCTAATTTTGTATTTTATAGTATCTGTAGCATTATATTGTTCAAAAACAACTGCTACAACAAAAAGCAGTAGAGTTTTTGCTTGAGCAACTATATAAGCATCTTCCATTTCAGTCTCATTAGAAAAACCTATTACGCCTAAAGAAGAGAAAAAGAATTATAATGATACTTTTTGAGTTAACAATCAAATAATAAAAATTATTTTAGTTACATTTCTCAAAGCTGCAGCAGTTTCAAGTAACACTTACTTTCAGGTAGAAGCTGAAGACAATTTCTTGCAGATTCCATTATCTTATCTGTATATTTATTTCTTGGCAGATAATATATATTGTTTAAAGCATTATCAAGCTTTCCCATTAATTCATCTTGTGTCTCTACAGAATAGCGTGTCTCATTCATTACAATTGGCGACTTCACACTAAAATCTCTCACAGCTTGTAATAATGCAAATAATCCAATTGGTACCAAAGCTTGTAAAAGTAATGTCATACGCCAATGTCTTTTGCGCACTATTAAATTTTTATATAGCAATAAGCCAAAAATGTTCCATTTACTAGCCATTTTTGTATATTATATAGCTTCGAAGAAAGTCTTAATAATTCATTAGTAGACTATATTCAAATCTGTAAATGGCATACACAACGCTTGCCTGTAAAGTATATGAAGACTTTTGAATTAATTATTAGAATTGATATGTTGGCTTCAACTTCAAACGCAACTTACAAGAGAGCTATATATGACCTTGGATGATGAAAATATGAAAACCTTTAATCTTATTCAACACATTTAGTTTGGTTAATCAAGAACTTTTATTTATTTCTCCTTTTTGAATATAAAGTACTCCTTTATACCACTGTTGCCATGGAAAATTTTACCTAAACAAATATCATTTATTACACAATGCTATAAAGTATATAATAAGATTATGTAATTATATTCAGTAATAATCAAATACTATTTTTGCAATTTTAACCATTATCAATAATTTCGATACAAGTAACAAAGAATTATTCAGTTGCTTCTAAAGAAATCTATTGATTAAAAACTGTGTTTATGAATATTATTTCCAAGAACATTATGTGTTATTTCCAAGTAATTTAATATGATTTAGTTTTTTAGTATGAATGTTTTCTTAATTTTCATTCTAAATATACGAAGTGAAGTGGTTATAACATATTCTTAAGGTCTTAAATTTAGAAGTTTTGATATTTACAAAATTTTAATAGAATATTACAGTGTGCAATTGCATATTAAAGCAGGTATGCAAATATCGACATAAATAAGTAAAGATAAAGAATGCTTTGAAAATGAAGCGATAGAGATGACTATCTCTATCATATCTCTTATATAAAGTTAAGCTCAATTTGTTAACTATCGCATATCGCAAATGTATGTTATCAAATGCAAATAATTAGTAGAAAAAATAATTTTGTCATATGTCATTGTGTCAAAATATGTAAAAACGCTTGTTTATTCACACTTCTATCGTTAAAGATATAAAGAATAATAAAGAAAAAATATGAATAGGATTATAATCAAAATAATCACACGATAATTATATACACAAGCACAAAGTACTTATAAAAGATGCCTATACATCGAAAGTCTTCTCGAAATGCACTTAATTGACGCGATAATGAAACCATTTCCTTTATAAAGCTTCATCTTATCACGACGATATCAATAAAAATAACGGATTTAAAAAACATGTCTGTACACATATATATATGGCAACAATGTTTCAACATAAATAGCGTCGTCGTTACACACACCAACATCACATACGTCGACGGATGACACTCGACTGCTATTGACTGCTATCTACTGCTCACTGCAGTGTTGCGATATGGGACCGGTTGTATGCGCATGTGCGGCAATACGGCGTCAGTACAGTGTCTCATACAATTAAACAAGGCACCGTTACCCCGCTACATTAAAAATATTTCTAAATTTTTTGAAATTGATTGAAATTTTTTACTTCTTGGTTTTTTAGCTGCTGGCTCCGTAGATTCCATGCTTGTAAATAAATAAATCTTACCTTATTTGTAGTCACCAGACCTTCTCATGTCAAAACGTCCCGCCATACAGTCAACACATAACATATAACGGCACTGGATCTCCATCACCGCACATGCGCAGAGCCGCACATGCGCATACAACCGGTCCCATATCGCAACACTGTTCGCTTTACTAATCGATTATTGTAGAATTTGAAATCAAGACCCGGCGGGATCGTTCCCGTCCGCATCGCAACTATCACGTCGATATTAATCGGTGC